GGGCACCCCTCCCTAATCAGAGTATCCTGCCAGGGCCTGGTCATACCCCTCCCCCCCAGCTCAGCACTATGGAAGGGAGGGAGGGCTGCTCTAGCACCCCCTGCTTCTAGCATGAACCACTGCAGGCATGTGCCTGCATGGCTGGGATATCTGTGTGATTACAAAGTGGTTTAGCCTAGCCAGGTTAGACTAACCTGCAAAGACTGAATCAATTCAGGCTCAGGCTTTTTGAATGTCTGTCTCTAGCTGAAAAGTGTAAAATGATGTGCATGGGCAAAAATAACCCAAACTATACCTACACTATGATGAGCTCTACATTGGCTGTTACCACACACAAAAGTGATCTGAGTGATTGTGTACAGTTTGTAAAAAACATCAGGTCAATTCAGCAGCTATCAAAAAGGCAAAAAAAAAAAAAAAAGTTAGAGAGTATTAAGAAGAGAATTGTTAACAAAGCTAGAAGTATCATCATGCCCCTTTATAAATCCATGGTGTGTCCACACCTTGAATACTGTGCCCTGTTCTGGTCCCCACACTTAAAAAAAAAAAAAAAAAAAGATACAGAAGAACTAGAAATGGTCCAGAGAAGGGCAGCAATGATTATTAGTGGTATGCAAGGGCTTCCATGGGAGGAGAGACTAAAGAGGCTAGGCCTATTCCGTTTAGAAAAGATGCTTGAGGGGGACATGATAAGGCTTTACAAAATACTAACTGACAAAGAGATGGATTTATTATTTACTCTCTCTCACCACTCAAGAACTAGGGTTCACAAAATGATCCTAGTAGGTAGTAAGTTTAAAACTAACAAAGGAAGTTCCTTTTCACACCGCATGTAATTACAGCATAGATCTCATTGCCCCTAGATGTTCTGGGAGCTGACAGTTTAGCCAGATTCAAAAAGGGATTGGACAAATTGTTGGAGAAAAAGAGCATCAAGAGCTATTTAGCACAGAAGTTAGTGATACAGCCTCTGAATTAGAACTTCCTATACCTTAAATACTGGAGGCTGCAAGTAAAAGAGGAGCAGTGAAAAAAAGCCCTGGTCGTACCCAGTTCACTCTCCCTTTCAGCATCCACTTTCTGGCGCTGTGTGACAAAGGATACTGGGCAAGATGGACCTATGGTCTGACCCAGGGAATGACAATTCGTATGGCCTTATGTGGTTCTAAGTGGCTAGGGTGGGTTTCTTCAAAGTGCCTTGGTCACTGAAAGCCAGTGGAACTGTGATCTTCCTTCGTTTAAGCATCTAGGAACTTTCAAAAGCCCCTCAGTCCTGAGGACTGACCTGGGGTCTAGATTGCATCCTGGGCCTCTGTCCTGGGAGCCGTTTTGCAGGAATAAAGTTCACCACAAAGCAGTGAAATAACTTGCACAGAGGGCAGTGGGATTGCAGCTAGTACTGAGAAACCTGACTGCCACTGCCTGCTGCCCATGTCTACTGAGTAATCCACTCATCATCTCTCTTGCTTTATTCCTCTAAAGGTCCTTTTACTGGCTGCCTGGAAAACAGCAGCATTTGAAGGATTAGAGGGCAGCTGATGTATAAATCTAAGGATGTCTCTCACTCTCTTATGCTGAAATGTTTGTGTGTGTATGAGTGTGTGCATATGTGTGTGCATGCATAGGTGCGTGTGCGCATGAGTTGGTCTAGCATGTGGGAAACACAGGTTATAGGCAACCAACAAGTTACTGCAAGGTAAGTGAGGGTGTGAACTTGCAGTGTGTTTGCTTCTCTGTAGCAACTACTTGTGTGCATGCTTTAACCCCCTGGTAAAAGAGGCAGCTTGCCTTCCAGGAACTTGCTCCCTTTTTTACCGCAGGGTATGAGTGTACTTGCAAGCAGTTACCAGAGAGTAGCTCATGCACACTCCACTTACCCTTCCAGTACCTTGTTCGTGTGTCCACAACTCTAGGTACAAGTCCTGCTCTGCCTGGTTAAAGACAAAATTCATCATCCCAAGTGCCCCGGAATCAAGTAAACCAGGGGCTTCAGATGAGATCCTCCATGCCTCAGCTAGTGCCAAGTTGTAGGACAAGGGAGCATCTCTTAGAGCCTGGGACCAGAAAGATTTTTCTGACAAAGCCTTCCTGGAAACCAAGGGAACCCTATGAAACGTTACAGCTTTGTAGACACAGCACAAGTTGCTGAAATTTTGTACTGGCACAAATATTCTGAGCAAGTCGACTCTTTTTTTCCCTTGGACAACCCTGCAGGCAAGCTGCCTACAGTCTGGCTCATTTCCCAGTTCTAACAGTGTCTTTCTCTCTCCAAGGGAAGAAGCAATGTTGTCCACCTACTTCGAAACCATCAATGACCTGCTCTCCTCCTTCGGGCCAGTCCGAGACTGCTCGCGCAACAATGGCGGCTGTACCCGCAATTTCAAGTGTGTTTCAGACCGCAAGGTGGACTCCACGGGCTGTGTGGTATGTACACAGAGCTACTGCTCTGGAGAAAGTGTGTGTTGTTGGGGGATGTGCAGAAGGAGGCATTTTTTGCTTTGTCGATACAAGTTAAGGAATCGTTCTTGCCTTTTGGGAGGTATTACTGGGTATCTGTCTATCCCAGTGATTTTTATCATTTTTAGACTCAAAGCACCCCTTTGGAAAATGGTAGCTGTTCATTTTTGCTTGTATTTTTGACTACAAAAAATAATTGAGCAATTGTTCTCGTGCAAAGAACTTAGAGACCACAACAGCTCAGAGTGTTTTTAATACTATGGGTTCCTGTTTGAAATCTCTGAATTTATCTTGTGAATCATGTTTGCACACCTAACAGTGCTAAGAGTGTGAGGCACCCCACGGCACCCTTGAAAGGATCTCAAGGCAATCCAGGCTGTCAAGTAGAGGATCACTGGTCTGTCCCTTCAGCCCTCCTCTTCTCTACTTCTTGCTATGCTAGGCGAGAGTGAACTTCTCTGGCCCACATGCTTGGGTGTCCTGTAGGATCTCCATACACGTCTGGTAGAATGGTTAGAGTTGCAAGGAGAGGGGTCATGGTGAGGAGGCAAATGCTCCCTGTTCCTGCTGGTTACATTGGATAACACATGAGATTGCTGTCTGAAAATTTGGACAGATGAACCAGTTAAAGCCCTCGTGACCCTTTCAGCCTGATCAGTAAGCCACTTTATGTTGTCTTACCTAGCTGTTGTCATTAGGAAGGGAAATGGGTGATTGGAGTCAGGTATTTTTTTGATGGGATTTGGTTATTGACCCTGGATGTTCACAAAGTCCTGTTCCCCTGAACATAGACACTAATAGCAACAAGCTGTGGCCTTGCTCAGATATCCACTCTGCCTCTTGAGCAAGTACTGTGCCAAAAATAAGCCCTGTTTCTTAACTTCTGCCCTGGACCATGGTTGCCACTCTTGCTTTCTGCTGCTTCTCTGCCCACCATACACACACAGAGAGCTTTCCAAGCAAGCTCTTCGTTCCCTTTCCTTTGCACCCACTTCCTAGGAAACCTCCCTAACCTTACGGCTCAACTTTGCTCAGGCCGTGGCGTGCAGGCCCAGTGTCTCATGCAGTAGCTCTGTTGTCAGCTCCAGTTCCCATTGAGTAAAGACGCATTGATGCTCCTTTCACAGTGTGCTCAGCACAGCACACCTGTGGCCTTTCAGCTGATCTGCATCTGATGGCAGCACAAACAGCTTCCTACAAAACAGCTTTCTACAAGAGGGCGTTGGTTGCTGTAGGTTTGTTTTTTACATAAATTCTGGAGGTGTGCATATGTCAGGAAAAATGTTCTTTGCACAAAGCTTTGTGAAGCCAAGTCAGTTCTTGACTTTCCCAATTAGTTTTCCTCTTTCTGTAAAACAATCCTGAAAGCAACAAACAAATCAGCATGGGGTTCTAGTCTGGTGGCATAACTACATGCTTTACGCAGTAGTATGGAGCGTCTGTCGCACGGAGCCAATCCCAGCCCATTATACAGGCAACGAGACCGCTAACCATGATATCTCTGCCCTGTGCATACACACAGGTATGCACACTTGTGCTTTTCCCCTTTCTCTTTATGTATCCCTTGCACATATACCTACAGGCTGCCACAACTGCACTTGTGACCTTCCTGCATGTTCACCTACAATCACACCTGTTAGGGGTTGTGTTTTCTTTTCCTGTACACACCTTTCTTGCATCCAGTCATAAACATTCTCACACAAACTTGTGCTGTTTCTCTTGTGCTCACATACCTCCTACACAACCAGACACTTGCTCACTTTCTGGCATGCGTACACAGGTATGTGCACAAACCCAATACACACACACCCACATGTGCAGACACATGCACACTCTCTCTTCTTCCAGCCCCCTTAGCAGCCTCATACTCCTCCAATCCTAAAGCCACTCTATTCAGTGTGGAAGTATTTCCTGTTCCCCCTCCTTGTCTCTGTAGAGGCAGAAGTTAAGTGTCTCTTTACTTATTGAAGATGTTTATGTACAGTATCCTGGAAAGGTCAGACTGGAGTGATGCTGTCTCTAGGGTGGCTTTTTCATTATCCCCCATTTCCAAGTGCTTGGTAAGGACATTTAGTACGGCAGCCGGATGGCGCTGATGTGTTGCAGGCCGTACTTTGCAAAATGTATCCTTACATGCTGGTTTCCTCCCACTCCTCCTTTCCCCTTTTCTTCCTTTCAACTTCTCTTTCTCTTTTTTTTCTGTGGGTTTTTCCTGTTGTTGTTTTGTTCCATTTGCCATTTTGCCCTGACAACGAATATGCCTCCCAGATATTGTCAGAGCCCATTGGAGTCGTGGTTGCTGCAGGCTGCCAGGAAGAGACACTGAGACGCCTCTTTTTAAAAGTCAAGATGTATTAAGATAGAAATTGTCAATAAATTACAGGCCTGGCGCTCCCCACGCCGGCACATGGAGCGGCGGAAATTGAAATCTGTGTCACTCTGGGAAAACGAGGCCTCCCTCCCTACTCGATAATGACTAAATTAGGCTGTATTTAAAGAGAACAAAACAGGAAAGGAACAGGGATTTGGGGGAGGGAGAGGAGGGAGAAGGAGTAAGAAATCACCTTGGTGTGCCTTCTGTTCCCTAATGGCTGTGGGGGAGAAATAGAGCAGCCTCCACATGGGTGGAAATCCCTGGCTGCCAAGAGGCACTGGGCACTTGCTTTTTCAGGCTTTCTCAAGGCACACATACATGTGTGCATGCACAGACACCCCTTCACACCTTCACACGTGCACATAAAAACACTTGTATGTGTACACATGCACACACTCATGCAGGCATGTGACCACTTCTGATTTCTAGTCTACATCCTTGCAGCAGAGAAAGGAGATGAGTTGGCTCCATGAATTGCCAGGATCCAGGCCACTCTTGGACAGGCAGAGGAGCCCCCTCCAGTCCCTTTCTTTGCCAGTCTGAGAAGGAGCAGGGATAGCTGTAACAGAAGGTGTGAGCTCACAAAGCTTTCATCTCTCCCTCTCATCCTCTCTTTTATTCTCTCTCTTTTTCATCCCTTCCTTCTCATCTTTTCTTTCTCTTCTCTCTCAGCAGCAGAAATAGAAAACCCCAGTCTGTCCTGCTGTGTTCGAAAGGGGAGGAATCCCTGCTGGGCTATAAAGCAACTCCAATCCCAGTGTGCCCAGAGAGCTCCCTAATGAGCGGTGGTGGCTATACTGGGAGAAAGGCTGACGTTCTGGACAGCCCCATATTGCTCCATTCACAGGCCCCAGCTGTAGCCTGGCATGAACACCACTGAGCTGGTTGCATGGGGAATGAAGGACTGATCATGGCCTGGGATGACTGCAGCAGAGTTATTATAGCCCTTCCTCTGGGAGACCTGTTACTCAAACTGCTGCTCCCTCAACCTTTTGGAAATTGTCTTCTTTCTTCTCTGTTTAAATATCAATGGGAGATTGATTTGGGATTTTGGAGGAAAAGCAAAGCTGGCTCAATGAGCAGGCAAATTGATATCAGATGATGAATGATCTGGAAAGTTAAGCTCCGTAGTCAGACACGCTGAGGGACAATGTCAGTCAGTGGCTGCTAAAGTGAACATTCGCTCATGGTTGACGCTGTGATCAGGAGTAACATGTCATTGGGGTTTATGTGCATCTCCGGGGAGGATTCTTCAAGAAGAAGAAGTGCAAGGCTTTGTGTGCACTGCAAATGCTTTTGGTGGAGCTCGCACGCCAGGGCTGGAGTAGCTCTGCTGGCAAAAACCCTGCTGTGGCCACAGCTCTGCTGGCAGAAGCCACCATTGCCCAGCTGAGCTGCCGGTCTTTGGAGGAGAGGATGTTGTTCAGGCAGCAGAAAGACTCCTCCTGCCAGAACAGTTGTGTCCACATCGGGGGGCCTGGCTGTCTTCATGCTGCTGCTGTAATTAAGGCAGCAGCAGCCCCCATAGAGTAGCAGAGCTTCTGATTCCCTACTAAAGAAGGGCTCATCCCAAAAACACTTGACAGTCATTTTACTAAGACAGACTCTGGGACTGGTGCACCAAAATGGGATCTGCTGATAGAGTCCACAGAGCATCATCTCTGAGAGAAGGAAGGGCCGGGGGTGATGACGACCAGGCTGTGGGAGGATCCAGAGCTGAGAGAAGGGAGATGCCTCTAGTAATCACATCTCTGGTTTCTGTTCCACTTAGCTTCCCCTCTGCCTGAGGTAGTAAAGGGGGTAAGGTTGAACAGCATCCCAGGAATAATCCCTTCCTGCCGGACTCAAACCTATACATCCTGTACCAGTCACCCACACCTCTAGGGGTGAAGCCATGGGAGGGAAGAGATGGGCGTATGATGAGGAATTCAAGTTCCTTGTGACCCAGCCTTCAGTCCCCATTGGTGGAATGGGAATAGTGCTGCTTCCTCTCTCTGCCTTCTCCATTTGGTTCTTAAGATGGAGGGAGAATAAGACATCTTTTTACAAAAATAAGTGAAATTTAGGTTTATTTTTATGGATTTGCCCAGGTGCCAGTCAGATTTTCAGGCTGAAATGTAGCATACTAAGCTTGACAATTTGGTAAGTGCTGTCAGCAGAATTGGCATGGAGTTAAGGAGGTACATTTTTTTAAATTGAATCCAAGGGGAGTTCTCTTACTAATGTTAACTCCAGGTGCTTATCAGGGCAACCTTTACCTTGGACTGTATTTTTTAAATCGGTGCACTAATTCTTACCCAATCAACAACTTATTAATCTTCTAAGAACCACCTAAGTATATAATCAAAGGTTCATCAATCAAATATAGATCCAGCAAAGGTTCTAGGCATGTATTGAACATAATTTATTCATGCAGTCTTGTAAGCAATTAATATTGACCAGGGTTGGTGGTTGCCTTCTCATTTTCATTGGACATGTTCCAAATTGCTCTCAGCTTTCAATTGGCATGCTTATTTTGCTACTTCCATTGCTATCCAGTAGATGGCATTAGGTCAGGGTACAATCATTTTCTTATCGGAGGCTTTTAATGTTC